CTCTATTTATATATCTATATATAGCTGTATAAATATAAATTGTTATTTTTTCTTTCTTGGCTGTACTTCATGTAATTTAAGGTGTGTACTTTAATAAAGCAAACACATTAGTACTTTGCATTGACCACCAACAGAAAGCTCTGGGACATTCTCATTTTTGTAAAAAAATAAAAAAAATACACACACATTAGAAGACCTCATCACACACACACATTTTTAAATGTAGTTAAACATCACCTCAGCATCTCAAAGTAGAAAACATTTTGCCATTTGGTTTTCCAACTGTCAGGTCAGATGAATTGAGCTGCAGGATCCAGATGTGCTGTATGTGTGCTATGCCTGATGTTAACACTTAACCGATGTAACTCTGTGAATGTAACAGGGGTTAGAATTTATAACTTTGTTAGGTGATCCAGAGCTTTACGGTTGGAATGTGGACCAGTCTGTCTGTGAAAGGATATAATGCTCCAACAGATATCCAACTTGCTATTAATCTGGCAGCTTTGGGCCTGCTGTAGCTCCTCCTCCAGCTGTTTGGGGTTAGTGAAGTGAGCTGCCTCCTGGTCTAGCTGTGGAACACTCTCGAAATCCAACTTGTCCACCTGGATGGCCATTCTGTGTTGAGAAACAAGAGAAACACTTACAGGTCCATGTCTAATTACTGTCAAAACAAAAAGTTCAAATTTAATAGGTTTTATTGTCATTTCACCACATGCATTATTATCTGTGTTTAGATGCTATATCATTATCTGTGATTACAATGATCATCAGAACCTTGCAAAGTTCTTTCGTACCACTATGTGCTAATTCATTAATGTGTAGGTGTATGATTCTCAATCAGAATTTTGTTGCTGTAATAACTGTTGTTATTATGGCAATGACAATAAAGTTTAAAGTAAAGTAAAATATAGTATGTGGTACATGAGGTGGAACAAAATTGTGTACAAAGGGTCCCAGTTACATCCAACAATAGCAAAAATATAAAGCGTAAAAAGAAACAGTAAATAAGGATCCAAGATATACACTAAAACGAATGCCAAACGGTACGCTAAAAGATCTAAGATATACATAAACTAGAGTTGCATTCGGGCCCAAAAAATCTGATCTGACCCCAGCTCGTAGCCATCATTTCAGAACCCCACCTGACCTGACGAATTAACAGTAATTACAGGTCCAAACCCGAAAAATACCCAACATTTTAAATTATGCTTTGACTGCTTATATAGTTATTAATGGTTGGCGGACATGCGGAACATCGTAAAATTAGTTTTATGTTGGACATTTGAGCTCTGTGTCTTCAGTGGTGTGTTCCTCTCGTTTGAGTTCAGCTGACCGAAATCAGACTGACTGCATCAGATCGAACGAGAGGAACATACCGCTGAAGCCACGGAGCTCAAATGTCCAACGTAAAACTAAAGTTACCACAGGGACGCGTGGCTGAATAAAAGGGGCAG